GAAAATTCTAAACCAATTATAAGACATCAAGCACAAAAAAACCCCTCCCAGACTACAAAAATAAGACAAAATCCCTGAAGCACAAGCCGATAAGCCTGACTGAAATAAGAGGAATGGTTTACATTGCAGGCTTTCAACGTTAATTCAATTAAAACTTTCACAAGCGCAAACGTTGAAGGTCGTACGACATATTCACGTGAGGAGGTCTCTGAAAAGTGAAAACAGGGTTCCAGGGCTACAGCAGCTGCTTTAATGAGCCTTAAGATACTAAGCAACGCTGTGGCGGATCACTGAGAGTTTTCTAAGTTTTTAAAACGCATGTGGAAAAAAATCTTCCTAAATCCCTAAAAAATATCAGATGGCAATTTTTAAAAAATTTCGTGAAAATGCAAAACCTTTCTATTACGTGGTAGTCGTACTCGACGAATATTGCCGAACTGTGAAAAATAACTTTTCAGTTCCTTCTCGAAGAATCCGTACGGGATGTGTCTGATCATAATCGCTTTCGAGTTTGCTTCCGGATCGTATTTCGAGGATGAAGCCGATGCATCCGCTTCCACACTTTTCTTCACTTTTCCCATGCTGCTGCAGCACAAATCCTAACATCGAGACATACAAGTTCCCTAGGCAAAATACCCCTTCTCCCGCCTCTTCTCCCAATAAATCCTGTAGCGCTGCTTCTACACATCTGGATGTTCTGGTTATCACCTGCATAAAACACCACCCAGCTGCGCAATTAATTACTTGAACTTCAGGAACTGGTAGATCTCCATTATTGGGATTCCAAGCTATTTCATTAGAGAACGAGAAGTGTGTGATCGCACTGGTCTACCTGGCACGTCCCGTCAATGATTAGGACAGAATCCGTTGTAGCACTCTTCCTTCGCCCTTCCTAAAGCTAAAAACATTTGAAAATAACGGCCATCTCTCAACTGAATAAAATGCACTTGAATTTTTAAAAACATTAATAGAAATGAAGCAAACACGAAACCGAACGTCTGAATTCATGAACGCGGCTCATCTCCCGGAAAAATTTTATAATCACGAAATGTGAAAGAAACAGTACCACAAATGTCTATCACAGGATCGAAGGAAGCAAAATCACCGGCACCAAGTAATAATAAACAAATAACTGATTCAAACAGATAAGTGAAATGTTTAAGGACTGCTTATCAAACCATAGTGCTTGCAACGATAAGCGAGCTGTTACAACAAAAGAGGCACTAAATAATGCATTTACATGTGTAACCGAGTCAGTCATATACCTTCCAAGCCGTAGAATGTACCGACCCCTCCTCGCCCCTTCCCCCCTCCCCCAGTCCCTCCCCTCCCAACTTGCTTCGTCCTAATTTGTTTTAATTCCACATAAAGCCCGACGAAAAAACATTGAAAAGAACTTTCTATGTTGACATCTTAAACTTATGACACAACCATTTCCGGCCCCTAAGCTTCTAAACGTTTTCTTCTTCTCTCTCTCTCTCCCCTCCCCCGGTGGTCTTTCTCTTTTTCAGTAATCCTTTCCTCGGCCCCTTTGTGATAACTTTCAGCTTCTTACTGTGATTTCTGCTTAGTAGCATCTTAATTTTAGTACTCTTCTGATATCAATTTCTATTTCAGTCCAATGGGTCTGCCCGTCACTACCAGACAAGAAATATTATTCAGAAAAGCCCTGATTATGCAAAATTTTTTTATTTCTCATCCGCTCCATATTACCATGTAAGCGATAATTTTCAAACAGCTCAAAACCATTCCCAGCACCAAAAGTGGTTACTTATGGTGCTATGTCACGCGCAGTATGTGAGAGGAGCACCTGCAACGACTGCTTGGATGGCACTAATATTTCTGGTACAATACCGATGGACGCCGTAAAAGTTGATCACTTCAATTTGAAATCAAATACTGATTCGGCTAAGACAAATCAAACAATGATTACTGACAAAGAACAAATGCAGCTGAAAAAAAAAAGCGTATTTTTAAGAAAAAACATTATGCACTGCTGAACAAATATTACTCATTTCCTGTTGGCTTAGGAGAGCGTATTTTGCGAATCTAAAATTTTTGACAGAAAGAACGTCATAGGGATCAACTAGCCTTCCTAAGCCGAATGCTAAAAACTGACCTATAACCGTATAACAGCAAATCCTAAATTTTAATCCAAAAATTTACAAAGAAATGGCTCAATTATTAGGATTACAGTGAAACTGCCTTCTTTCATACGCTGAAAAAAAGGAATCAGAAACTCTGCACTTATGAGCAGTGAAAAACAGCCTGAGTGATCGCAAAAATGAATTACTAAAATAAAAATCAGCGCTTGATCAAAGACATGTCAGGAATAAGGG